TACTGAATGTATTTTGTTTTGTTTATCTTGACGATATTTTGATTTTCTCCCGGTCATTGCAGGAGCACAAACAGCACGTCAGGCTCGTTTTACAACGACTATTAGAAAATAGGCTTTTCGTAAAGGTTTTATAAACAATGTTTTTTTTCATTACAACATTTTCATGCGTTTTACAAATTATTATTCTGAGGTTTTTAATTTAAATACCGCTATGTCCCCCATGATAAAAGAGACGCAAGGACAGTTTGACAACTTTTGCTCAACGCTCTTTCCTGGCACGACATACCCATCTCTTCGTCCTCGGGTCACACTGGGCAATGTTTGGTCCCATGACATGAGTGCTAACAGCTGATTCTGAACCACTACAAATTGTACGTCCATGGCCACTTTTAGACAGTGGTAGAAACATGCAGAGGTTTAGAAATGCAAACAAGCAAAGTTAAAAAAATGTTGAAAAAGAAATCCAATTCCAGAACAATTTGTCTGCATTTCCACATTTCTAACTTTACTCATGGGATTACTGAGGAGACACTTCAGATTCATCAAGGCAGATTTATCAGATGCTGTTAAGGGGGAAGTCGAGTCAAACATTTTCTGCACAATATTATATATGTGCCCTCACTAGTCTAAACATGGCATTCTGATTTGTATACGTGTAGTGTTTGTGGAATATGAATGAAGCAGCAAAATCTACCCGTTTTCATTCACCTCGGGGTGTTCATTTTGCCACTTGCCATTGACTAAAAATGACAGCACAGTGCCGAAGGGCTCAGCTTGCAAGTGTCACTTGACCAAACCCAGAAAACAGATGAGCTACGGGTGGTCTGTATCTGAACTGTTAGGCACTGTGATGTCGACAAGATGGGTGAAAACGGGTGCAATTTGCTGTTTAAATCATGTTCCACTAATGCAGCATTTATCAGAATACCGTGTTTAGACTAGTGGGGGCGCATAGAACATATTTGGAAGAACATTTTTGACTTGACTTCCCCTTTAACTTCTGTGGAATGTTCCAAAGGGAATATACATTGGTTCATTTTTTTTCTCTCCATGGCCTAAAGTGAGGTTTGACAGATACATAGGGTAGCTGATAAAATAATATGTAAATATACATTTCTGGAGGGTTTTATCTAGGGCTACACAGGTTTCTGATGGGGCTATAGAAAAACCCGGTGAAGCAGCCCCCGTGAATGACGCACACCGTTCGAACAAACTCACACGTGTGCATACACGCTATTCTGAAACTGAATGCATCACACACATGAGCAAATTAGTGAACTAAAGTCACGCAGTATATAAATATAGTGTATATAAATGCATGCAATTTAGTTTGATTCTCAAAACATTAAAAAAAAATAAAAAAGATGAACATATTTTCTTGAGGGTTTTATCTAGGGCTACACAGGTTTCTGATGGGGCTATAGAAAAACCCGGTGAAGCAGCCCCCGTGAATGACGCACACCGTTCGAACAAACTCACGTGTGCATAAACGCGATCCTGAAACTGAATGCATCACACGCATGAGCAAATTAGTGAACTAAAGTCACGCAGTATATAAATATAGTGTATATAAATGCATGCAATTTAGTTTGATTCTCAAAACATTAAAAAAAAATAAAAAAGATGAACATATTTCTCTTCAACAAATCACGTTTTGGCCTTTTCTACAAGATTAGTAGTTTTTGTGCCGGGGGGCCCTCACAACAAGCCATATGAGAAGCACCATTCCCAGCATGCTTTGCCGCAGTTATAATTCGCACTTCTGACTGACTTTAGTGATATATGTGTTATATTGCACAGCTAAGGTGTAATATAGTTACAGGGCTGTTTTTTTGTAGTCGTTCATGAAATGACTGCTACTTTTGGTATTAAACTATTGTGAAGTACCAAAGTAGTACATTCACCTTTATAACGTAAATTTTCTTATAACGACCAGATTTTCCCCACAAAATAGTGAAAAGGTCTTTGTTACAAAGAACTGTGGGAAGCTAACTGCCACCGCCACCTTCCTTAAGAACAAAATGTACAACGTGGGATTCCACTCCGTTGCAGAGCAACGCGACTGATCGACTCGGTACATTGTTGTACTTCCGGAGGCATGGCGCGGTCCTCGGCATATTGTCTGAAAACACGTCTGGTAAACGAAAGCAAATCTTGCTGTCTGTGAAGGCTGAAATTGTCTCTCTCTTGCGAAGGGGAGTCGACCAGACAAAGCTCAGCCAAGACTACGAATTGGCGAAGTCAAAGTCGACAATCATCCGCAATGGCAACAAAATCATGGAAGAGTTCAAAGGCCCAATGACTTTGGGGCTTGGCACATCTTGAACTGGAGAAGGCACATTGCATTTGCTGGCTCAATGTTTCCAGAGATGAGGCAGGAACACTACAGTTGTTTGTTTCATGTCTAATAAAAATCATTTTTCTTCATAATGTATACACATATTTGTAATTGACATGTTTATACTGCATTACATGTTGATGTTTTCATGTTCATACTGCATTATATATCGCGGTTGGCGGCCATTTTATTGAAAATGGTTACAACAAACTACAGTTAACGTGTACAGATTTGTAATGTCCCTCAATGTACGTTGTAAGGAGGTTCGACTATACTATAATTTAGTGTATAAACAATACAGTTCTATATTGTGAGTACAGTAGTGTATCAGTACTCACCCTTTACTTATATGGGTGGGTGAGTACCAGGTATTCATATCGAGCCAATACCGGCCTTATTTTAAAGGTATCGGTCACTCACAGAGGCCGCCGATACCAGCCTCCGATATTTAAGGGGGGGAAAAATCTGATCTTGAGTAAGTCCTTCTTAGGCAGTAGTTGGAGGTATACTGCAACAGTTTGACACATTGGCAGGTCATCATCTCCGTCAGAAAGAAAGGTCCTTGTTCACAATTTGTTGTTATTGTGATAAATGAAACGTGTTGTATCACAAGTACCAGTGGAATGGGTCCTCTGTATCGGTGAGTACTTAACGAGTGAATATGCGTACTGGTATCAGTCTGAAAAAAAGTTGTATCGGGCATCCCCATATTGTAGTAATATTATACTATACCATACTAAATGACACAATACTACACTTTACATACAATACAGTATTGTATTGTACTATGTATACTATATATTCAAAAAGGAGCCTGTGAGAGTTTTTGTGGACTGGCCTTGCAGGGTGATGCCCTCAGGCCCTAAGGCGGGGGTGAGGAGCAGTAAATAAACAACAATTATTAGACGTTAAGCAGTGTAAAGAGGTGTGCAGATGGATTAAGGTGAACGTCTATTTACCTTGGACAAGATGTTAAGCCCTAATCACTGAGCTAGACCAATGACCTCTGACTTGGTTAAGGAGGAAGCCAATGCAGCCTTGTTCCAAGTGCTAACTCCTAAGTGAGGAGGGCCACACGCAACCTGTGATTAATAACTCCAAGGGCAACAACTGGTTTCACATAAGGAGGATAAAAACACATCACACTTCTTCAAGGCCAATGTTGTGCCACTGTGGCGAGGAGGATGGTGTTGGGGGGCGGGGGGAGGGTTGTTCGAACAGAAGCCCACATTTAACATCACTTGGTTGTAAAATGATTGCACGGAGCTCTCTGCATCTTTAAGTGCATCATTACAAGCTGTGGGGTTTTTCTCCTTTTCATTCCTCATCGACCCGGCGCGGGAATGTAAAACAAGGCCATCAATATTTTCACAGGGAATCTTTATGCACCCTGCGATTTCTGATTGCACAGTGCCAGAATGTCCCCTAAAGTGCGCCCATTTCAAACGCATTCAATGTGTCCCTCTCCATACAGTTACTGAAGCGGCTTTAGTGCAAAGGTGTTAAGAGAAGGCTCTGTTTGTATGCAGCACGTGAAAACAATGAGAAAGTGAAGAGGAAGCGGTGTGACTGTGCAAGAAAAAAAAAATCACATAAAAATCACTTCAATTCAAATCTTCTTTGTGTGGCCTGCATTAACATGCTGTGACACAAGCGGGGACGGGTCCACGTAATGACACCCCGGGGATTTGGCTGCATGCGGATGGCGGGAGGACGGCCGGTTTGTTACGGCAGATCTTTATTGCTCGTCCCTCCTGTACCATTCAGGGCTGACTTTGGGCTCGTGGTGCTAACTGGTTGTTAATTGCCAGCCTATACACAGGCTTTCAACGCATGCAGAAACTAGCCCCTCTCAGGGAAACTAGCCTAATGAGATTATCTGTCAGAGCGAGGGTCTGTCTAGACAGCCCCAATACACACACACACACACACACACACACACACACACACGATGGGCAGTGCTGCAGGCATGAGAGGACGCCCTCAGGTAAAATGTACCTGTGGAAGGAGCGCTACAGTGTTATCATCACACCATTATGGCTTTGCACGGACTTTCCCTCCCAGCGTTATTTCTTTTATGGAGAAAAAAGATGAGTGTGAGTTCAACATCAGCAAATGACAGAGGTGGAGGACTCGAGTCACAGGTCTCAGTTGGAGTTAGATTGAAGTTACCAATTTTAGGAGTTGGGACTCCCTTGGCGAAATGTTATAAACGACTCGGCTTCACTTTGAATTGGTATTCATGAGATTTGACTGGATTTAGACTGTAGTACATGACCGAACAAGACTTGCCAGTTTACATTTGAAGATCTGCACAAAAGTCTGCCATTTGTTTAATTTTTGAGAATAAAAGTTTTTGTGTATTGCGAGCGAAGCTGGCAAGCCACAGGTAGGCCCATGCTTTGACAGCATGAAGCAAGTGTGGCAGGAGACCCAACATTTATTGCATTTAGATTCAAGAATAGGGTTTTCGATAACATCGAGAAAAACAGAACAGTAACATACAAAGTTTGTAACTCAAAGACACACGACTACGACATCTAACTTCATGACTATGAAACCTACGGATGCAGGTCAGCTAGGTTAGCTTCACATTTTAGCTCACGGATTGATGGTCGAACATGAACTAAGCTTCATGCTGGTTATATGGAGACTAGTTTCGCCTGAAAACTTGAGTGTGTAAACTCGAGACTTATTTATGATTTGCACATGTCGAACTTAATCCCACCTCTGTCAAATGCTAATTATTTGGATTTTTATGAACCATCTTCTCATCACTAGCTATATAGCTAGCTATCTAAACTCTGACATAACTTCTATCCCTTTTGCGGGATTAGGTGACTACCGGTAGGTCATTTAGCACATTGCTCACACACACACGCACACACACACACACACACACACACACATACACACACACACACTTTTTTGTGTGCAGTTGTGTCTGTGTGAATGATCTTTACGCAGCTTTTGGTGCCGCTGCCCCTCCATCCCCGATCTACAAGCAGGAAAGTACGTCCATATTTGTTTAAAAGTCTCTTAGCAGTTAATAAAGATGCATTTCCTCCAACCCTCTTCCTGGGGGGACGGTATCAAGACTCTGTTAAGTTTCTTTGATTTCTGCCACCTCCAATCCCAGCAGGACATTGACTCATCATTGTGGCACTTCAAAGCCTGGGAATGGCCGGCCTGACCCCACCCACAGCAGAAGCCCCCTTAAAAGTCACGGTCATCCCAGAGCGAACAACTGAAAGATGCTCACATCAGCGATGCAACTTGACTGAATGACTGGATGTCTTTTTTTGTTTTTGTTTTTTTTTTTTTTGCAAGAGAAAAAGAACAGTGGATATCATTACGTGGATTCCTTATTGGCCCTCTAAACTGGACTTTTTTTGGTAATATACATTACGCTTGAGAATCGTGATCATGCAGTCCATCAGGGGTAACTCGACTTTATTTGCACAATAATTAGAAGGTTGTTTAAAAAGAGTTTATTGTAGCCTGAGGCATCTTATTTGTCGAATAGACTTGAAGGCAAACTTCAGCGGCCCTCCTCCCTCTGCCATGGCTTCGGGTGATGCTTATCTCCAGGGCAACATCCGCATGACTCTGGAGGACCCCGATCTCTGGCGAACCTTCCATGAGATTGGAACAGAGATGATCATCACAAAACCGGGCAGGTGAGATGCGCAAAATAAAAAAACATCAGCGATAGGGATAATGTTCAAAAGTGCATTGTGTGATCTTGCATTCTCAACTGCTCATTTGTTTTGTAGGAGAATGTTTCCACACTGCAAAGTCAATCTGTCTGGTCTGATTCCTTGCGCCAAGTACATTTTACTGGTTGATATGGTGCCAGAGGATAGCTTCAGATATAAGGTAAAAAAAAAAAAAAAAAGTAAAATCTTCTCTTGTTGCGTTGCTCCTCAGTAGCAGCAATAACATTAGAGGGTTCATTGGCCATGGCATGTGTAAAACCCGAAATGAAAAAAAAAATGTTAAGAAACTTTGTGATTGTCTCATTACACTGGTGAACAGCAAATTATAACCAGAGATGGCTTTATGTGTCCCTGAAAGTATTTTTGAAGCCGATTTGAAAAAAGTGTCTTTACTTTTTATTCCAGCACATCAAGTTTTTGAGATATTTTCATTTTTTGTTTTTGAGTTTGCCCAATGAGAGCGTGCGCAATATGGATTTCACTTTGCTTTGTAGTTTAGAGCTGTGACGCTGCGGAAAATCTAGTCCAACTGTTGCTGAACCCAACCCTAAATTCATAAAAATGACTACTTGTGTTCCATATTATTATTATAATTACTGTTTTGTTAAGCGCTTTGTTACAGCTGCTGTTGTTATGAAAGCACTATATAAATCAGGATGTATTGTGTTATATTATTATTATTATTATTAAAACATGATAAGCTAGAGAAAAAAAAACGAGGGCAGATTTGGAATCTGCGCCAAAAACAAAACAAAACAAAGTTTCCTTGCATTTTTATATTCAAAAAAATAGTACAAAGGTGTTGACCGGTGTTACTAACCCTCCTTGCAAATTTGTGAAATGACCCATTTCCATTGCATATTTGATGACAGTTACTAAACTAAAAAGCTACTTTTAACCTTACAACGGGTCAGTTTCACCCTCGGTATACCAGGAAGGTGACTCATTGAATTAGAACACACTTTCTTCACTTATTTGTATAGCTTGTCCTGTTGATTTCTCTCAGTCTCCCCAGACAAGTTTGTCACCCCCCCTCCCCCTTGCCCCCCACCTTTACTAACATTGAACATCAAAGCGTGCTATCTCTTCCTGTTTTTCTATCCCCTGCTGGGAGCCCACTGTACTACCCGCTATCTCAGTGGGTGGTACAGTCGGCCGTCACTCTCCCCTCTATCTTCCTCTTCTCACAGTGGGAAGGGGAGAAAACTTCCCTCTCCGTCACTCAACTCGCTCTGTATGACAGATTAGCCTTTAATGACATTCTGTCTCCATCCTACAGTGGAATAAAGAGAAATGGGAGGTGGCGGGAAAAGCGGAGCCTCAGCCCCCCTGCAGGACGTACCTGCACCCCGACTCTCCGGCCCCGGGGAGCCACTGGATGAAACAGTCCATCTCCTTCCTCAAGCTCAAGCTCACCAATAATACTCTCGACCAACACGGCCACGTAAATTTAAAATAGAATCATTTGAGCTGATAAAAGAAGAGAGTTTGACCCGGTTTTCCGCCCGTCTGCAGATTATCTTGCACTCGATGCATCGCTACCACCCGCGCTTCCACATCGTTCAAGCCGATGACCTGTTCAGCGTCCGCTGGAGCGTTTTCCAGACTTTCACCTTCCCGGAGACGTCTTTCACAGCAGTCACTGCATACCAGAACACAAAGGTCACTTTCTGTAGATGCTAAGAGCCCAACAGTGAACTGAGATTCTTGATCTACTTTTGACGTCTTGACCCACAGATCACCAAGCTGAAGATTGACCATAACCCGTTCGCCAAAGGTTTTCGTGACGAAGGCACAACTAAGAAAAGGTACTGATCTGACGAATAAAAAAAATGAACAAGGTTTTTGATTCGATCTGCTGAAACTGGTTGTATTGACACGGGTGCTCCTCTGCAGGCGCGCAAACAAGAACCCGGGCGAACTCGACAAGAAAGTCAAACTTTCTGAAATGAACGGGAAGTCTGAGGAGGACAGCCCATCAGGTATTGAATCGTTTCCTCTTCAGATGCTGGAATCGTCCATGTCCTTCACGAATGAAACGTCTCGTAAATTGGGGGAAATGCGCCACAGTCTTCACAAAATGTTTCCAAGTGTAAAGAAGAATGTGGCATTCAGCAAAGAATATTCTCTTGAGAACGTTCCACAGAATTTAAAGGGGAAGTTGAGTCAAAAAATTTCTTTCCAATACTGTGTTCCCTGGACCCCTACCAAGTCTCGACACGCTATTGTGATTCATATTGCAATTGTGGAGTACGAATTAGGAAGAAAAATCCAAGTTTTTATCCATCAGAAGGGGCGACCATTTTGCCTTGTACAGCCACATGCTGTTGACTGGCTAGAGACTCAGGTAACGACCATCGACGCTCACCTGTTTTCTGGGTTTGGTCATGTGATGTTCGTAGCAACTGTGATGTCATTTTCAGTGGACGGCACGTGGCAAAAGAGATTTTTCTGCTCAATTCGTATTCTATGAACGCAATATGAATCACAGCACTGTGTTTAGACTAGTAGGGGTATATAGAACGCATACATTTTAAAGAAAAAAAATTCACTTCCCCTTTAAGTGGGAGCATAATGCATTTAACATACCTGATCTTCCACACGTCATACATGTTCTCTTTTTTTCTTCATAACAAATTTGAAAAAGTTCTTGAAAAAGACATACTGGTGAAAGGGGTCCATAAAATAGTTTTCCTCAATGTTCTGATAGTGGCCTTAATGAACATTTGGTACTCTCTGGAAACAGGCGAAACTGGCGACGCCATAAAAAGTAAATTAGTCTCATGAGACCAAATGGCCATTTCAATCGGAAGTGAGAAGAGAGCGAGAAAAGAGGTTTGCTTCCTTCCTTGGTTGGCTCCCGAGGTGTTTTCTTTTGTCTCCTAGTGGGAAAGTTGAATCTGAGGTTTTTTGTCGTCCCAGATTTCTGCAGGTCGTCTTTTGAGGGTTACGAAGGAGACGAAGCAGAGCTGCAAAAGAGGAAGGAGGCGGACGAGATCAAGGAGAAGCGCTACTCCCCTTGGTCCGCAGAGAGGAGGGAGCACAGCGCCAGGAACGGCTCTCCTCCTGCTGCTGAAACACGGGACATTTACAACACCGAGCAACTGGTTCCTGCGCCGGCATCCTATCAGCCTTACAGGTGACTACTGGCAAAGATCCGAGGTGGCAAAATATTAACAGTCTACTCGGGCAAAAGTACACATACTTGTGTACAGGAAGACCAAGGTAAATTCACTCATTTACTTCAAGGTAAAAAGATACAGCCTCTGAAATATACTTAGTAAGTAAAGTAGAAGTGGAATTTTATGGTCAATGATTTTAGAACAGGGGTCTCCAACCTTTTGGAAGCTGAGAGCTACTTCTTGGACAGTGATTAATGCCAAGCGCTACCACTTTGGTCCACACTCCTGAAATAAATGTGTTCAAATTACTTTGAATAATGGTATTAGTTGGGCCCAACCAATTTAATCAAGCCAATATTGCCTGTTTTAAAATAGTCAAAAATCGGCAGAGCAAGTCGGCTGATTTCATTTTATTTCACACAGTACAACATAAGACAAAAATAATGACAACTCCTGGTACTAAAAAAAGAGTTGTAAAGTTGAACAAATACTTAAGTACAAAGTGTCGTAAAACAGTCAAAACGTCTGCCTGTAATTGAAATCTTTGTTGTAAGCATTATGAGAGCTAAGCTAGGTTAGTTTCACATTTTATTTAATAGTTGTTGTTTTTCTTTTTTTAATGTAAACCAATTGATTGATTAGCAGAATTCTGTTTTGTCAAATATCGGAATCAGCATCTAGCTCAAAAAAATCTATATCGGTCGGGCCTTAATTATTCGTTATACTGTAGTTATACGTATTTAGCAGTTAATGCTATTTATTTACGTGAAGACGCTGAATGTGTTATTAATTTCTCACGATAATTAGAGAACAGATCATGTCAATGTTATCAACATGTTATTTCAATGAATGTTTTCTAGAGTTGACATTTTCAAATGATCGCTACTATAATCCTTCCTTGGAAATCACAACTGTCCCATCCTTGCTGAGCTATTTTTTAGAACGAGGCTCTGAAAGTTTCTCATGTGGCCCTTTGGGGGCTACCTGGTGCCCGCGAGCACCACATTGGTGACCCCCTGCATTTTAAAAATATACATTTTGGGAATCTAATATTCTTGACACAAAGTGCTAATTATCATTTTTTTTATCCTATCAAAACAATGCCATCAACAACATGCTAATCCTGTCCCAACGCACTAAAAATTATGAATTTTGTAATGGTAACTTTGTTACTTCATCATAATTTGACAGCATCTTGTCATTGTGAAGCACAACACTGATCTCGTGTGTTTGGCTTGTCAGGTTCCACGATTATGGAAAGTCTCCCTCCCCGTCCTCCAGCGTCGGCAGCAGCGCCAGCGGCTCGGGGCGCAGCAGCTTCGAGTCGCGCGTCCCCGACGTGGCGGTCCCTGACCACGACTCCTCAAAACCCGGCACGCAAGAGGGGGCCCCCTCCCCTTGCGCCCCTCAGCATTTCCCAAGCACCCAAGACTACCCCGGTGTGCTCAACATGACTGTGGCCCAGGCAAGCAAGCCGGGCGTTCTGGGCCACCACATCTACGGCCCTTACGGCGCCGAGCAGCCCCTGGGTCAGTGGAGCGGCTCGGGTCCGGCCCAGTACCCGCCTCCTCACCACCTGACCGCCGATTACACCGCGCAAGCCGTGCATCCCTATCCCCATGGCAACGTGACCGAGTGGAGCCAGTACCCGCTGTTCTCTTATTCTTGCTGGTGAGCGCCTCTCCGTTGGAGACGGAGTGATTTTCACCATGCTGACACGGTGTTGCTCACAGTGCCATGCGTACACGTTTACACGCAGTGACCGGCCAAGGCCTGCAATGACGATACAATAATCGGTGATATCATGCAATGAGTCGTCTGCGGCTCACACAGGATGAACTGAGACTTGCTATGACTACAAAAGTGTGCAATGTCATTTTGAGGAATTGGTCTATTGTCGAGGTGTCTATTTATTTTGTATTTCATGCCATCTCATCGTGAATATATTTTTGTTAAAAAATGTAAAAAAGGGAAAACTCAGAAAGAGAAAGAAAGTAATCATAAGAAAGTGTGCAATTAATTTTATGTCTTCCAGTGTTGATGTGATCTGAAAATAAATGTGGTGTCTTTTAAAATCGGACTTTGCCACAACATTCACTTTAAATGTATTTTAGATTAGATTCTGGCTCTTTGTCATTACATTTCTCACAGGTACGAGGCAACAATAACAGACTGAAGATTGTGTCAACATTAATTCAACAGCACATACAGTTACAGTATAAATAGCATGTAGTGCACATGTGGGCCAGGGGACATCCTTTTAATTTTTTTTTCATTTTAGCACAAAATGTCACCAAAAAAATCCAAAACTGCATGTCCCTATGCGGAAAAAGTAATTGTTGAATCACCCTTTGTTAAATCACAAAGTAACTGTGACTAACAACAGTTTTGGGAAAGCTGAGCTCAATTTCACAAGCAGCACCCTAGCACCACATTTGTTGAATCAAAACATCACATAAATAGAATTTGTCAGACAAAGTGAAGCAGCCTATAAGATCTCAAGAATCAAATGCATCATTCTACGATCCGAAGAAATTATTAAAAAAAAAAAAAAAAAGTCTATCAGTCTGGAAAAGGTTACAAGGCCATTTCCAAGACTCCGGGTCTTCAGCAAACCGCTGTCAGAGCCATCATTCACAAATGGAGAAAACCGGGAACAATGGCTCATCCAAGAAGATGCAAAAGAACCTAGCACAACACCCAAAGTACTTAAGACCTGGCTGTTCAGGTCAGTGTTCACCACTCTACCATAAGAAAGACATGGCCAAAAATGGCATCAGTGGGAGAGTTCGAGGCGAAAATCGCTGCTGACCAAAAAGAACACAAAGGCTGGTCTCACATTTGCCAAAAGACATCTTGCTAATCCTCAAGACTTTTGGAAAAACATTCTGTCAACTGATGAGTCAAAAGTTGAACTTTTTGGAAGATGTGCGGCCTGTTAACATTTGGGATAAAAATGGCATCGCATTTGATCAATAGAACATAATGCCAACAGTGAAGCATGCTGGTGATGTTCTGTGGCTGCTTTGCTTCCTCAGGATCAGGAAAACTACTCGTGATTGATGGGACAATGAATTCTGCTGTCGACCAGAAAATCCCCAAGGAGAACGTCGGACAATCAGTTTGCGACTTCAAACTCGAGTGGCATAACCCATGATTAGGTTCAAGGGGCAATCAGGGGGCAATTACATTTTCACATAGGGAGGTTTGATTTATTTTGTGTGTCGAAATAAGTAAATTGACATTTAGAAACTCCATTTTGTTTTTGTTTGAATTGTCTCTGTGTGATATAAAAATTGGTTTGACAAACTGAAATCTTTGTGTGATAAATATGCAAAGAACAGAAATCAGGAAGGGGGCAAATACTTTTTCACGACACTGCATATATTTGCTTGCCACTCTAATTTCAAATTCAATTGGTTAATATACAATAATGGTTTATGTGAAATATTATATGTATAATATGACATACTGTGTACGATTATATGCTTTTCGGTCATAAGAAACCATAACTGACTGAATTGAATTTGGCAGGACATGTAATGATCATGCCTTAAGAGTGTCTATTTCTTCAGGAATCGGCTCTGACTATGAGGAGTAACAGAGCGTTTCTGCAAACTGAAACCACAACAATAAACATCCCGTTGTCTTGAATGAGTATTTCACTCTGTCCCGCACAGTGTCTTCCATTAACCTGTCTGTGTTGTTTGTGAAAAAGCTTCTGCATTGGATTTCATGAGATATGGCCAACGGGTCTAAATTAAGCGTGTCTGCCGGTGCACATCTGCTCGTTTTCGGCAATGTTTAAAAAGCGGCACGTCTTCAATGGTGTTTATTTGTATTTCTCCATTGTCGCTCTAATGAGCGCCACTCTGTAGTTTCGACAGGCCCAGCATGCATGAAAGACTGCGTCTAAGTGCGACTGCAGCTCACCTGCTGAGGTTTACCCACTAGCATCATAAAGCAAAGCACGACTCTTGTTCTTCATGTGAATGACTCCCAAAAGCATGACAATGGGGGGTTGTTGGCCACCCTTTCGCAACTGGAAAGCACAGCCTGAGTACTGCGCCTCCACCCGGGATGGATATGAGCCACTAATGACTGTTGTAAATGGGAGTGGGGGGGCTCATCCTCCAGGAACACATCTCATCGAGTTTACAATTCATTTTGTTGGGGGCTGCAGGAACCAGCCCCTTTGTCAGTTTTGCCTTCCGCTGCAATGTAAACCGCCAAGTACATCATTTTGATTTCGGAAAAGAAGTTTTTTCAAGGTCAGAGAAATATCATCACACCTAAGGCGATTATATCTTTTGCTAAATATATATACAGTATTTTTTAAGATATAATTGAGATTTGCCGCAGAATGAACAGTAACTATAGACAGTGAAGTATGAAAACTATATGGAAAAAAAGAGTGGAATTTTAAATTGGATTTAGGTCTGGGCTCTGGCTGAAAAAAATGTTCATTTTCATGGAATTTATTGTCCCGAGGTTTTAGACTATCAATTGGCATGAGTACTGTACAGCCACATTTTCCAATACAAAAAGGGACACATTTATTTTTGTATTAATTAACAGGCATTATTGATTACCGTATTTATGACCTTTTATATATTCACAAGGGATATACAGTAGGAGTTTAGTTACTTTATATTATTTCCTGCAAAATTGTTAGCCGTGGGACTGGTGGGTCTTTTCCACTGTATGTTGTTTGTCTATTGCGATTTGCTCAGGCCAACGGTAAAATTCTCAACAGCACATTTTTGCCAATGGCTCTTTGAACGCAAGCTTGCATCGCTAAATGAAGATGAAAAACATAAAATCTAATGGTGAAGACGCACTTCAATGAGAAGGTTGAGTAGCAGTCTATTGAGTAGTTGCAAAGCAGTCCTGACATAATGGGCATAAAGGCTTCTCGTACCAAAAAAAAAAGAAATGTCGTTTTTTCTTTACAATTCCACTGGGTCTAATCGGCGTAATATCACATTAAGGCGTAATCTGGGCCTTTTAGTTGCTCTGAAAATGGTCAAAGAGCAGCACATCGACTTGCCTTAAGATGTCTATAAAGTCCACTGGTGTGGTTAAGTGCAAGACACATGTTTTAAGTCTCCCTTGGTGGTACTGCAGCTTTAGAAAAGAAAGATTGACGTATGTTGATCGTGGACGTCCACGACTGGTGTCAGCGGGTCCCTCCAGACAAGCAGCACAATGGTGTGAAAGATAGCAAGTGGGGGGTGGTTGGGGGGGTTGGAGGGGCAACAGATGTAGAGGAAACACTCTTGAGAGGAAAGTAGTGGTCAACCTTCATAAAGCTGATGGGAGTGCAGGGCCAAATGGAGAGGAACTAGAAGAGACCGGCTGTCTGGAATAAAGGCAGCAAGACAGCAACCGTTACAGTCGTCTCGGTCCACCTGTGTGAATCCAGTTGCTTCAGAAGCTTTTAAACATTCAAGCTGTGGAAATCTGTGCAAAGGCCTCAGTCCCATATTGAGCTGTATTTTTTTTTCATGAACAGCCAAAAGGCAACTGAAAGAGGATCACGATCGCTAAAGAGGATCAGTTCAGGAATGTTTCTACAAGCCAAGGTCTAGGAAATAAATAAGTGCATATATTTCTATAGCGATTCAAAAATTGAACTTATTGACCTTATCCATATTTGTATTTATATTGCACTTAATTGAACTGTGTTTTCTTTTCTCTTCTTTCTACCCACAATCTTGCTGCTGAAGGCTGTAAATTTCCCCAGTGTGGGACAAATAAAAGATATCTTATCTTATCTTATCTTAAAAAGATTGAATATACTGTTGATTTTCATTGAACTGGACATGCCCTCAAAAATTAATCTTTCAAGTCAATTAAAATTGGGAGTTTGAAAAGAAAGAGCTGTAAAGAAGACATCCTAAAGTGTATGCAAAAATGAAGAGTGAAATATTTTATCTTCAAAACGACAAGTTTAAATGATGAATAAAAGCCCAACATAAACTGAGAGAAATTATTGTAATTGAGTAAGGATGAACATTTAAGTTAATGGTTCATGAATGAAATGTATTATAAACCCCTTGTCGTTGCATGACTGGACAGAAACATAGTGAAGGGTATATATTACTGTTTTATTCTTTACCACAAGAATACATTTGCATATCTTGGTTGACAGGCTTTTAACCTGTTACATGGAAGAGAAAATGTTTGTTTTTAAGCATCACAAAGAATGAGAAGCAAACGCCAAAAAACAAAAAACAAAAAGGCAACTTTTTAGATTATCTGCATCATTAAATAAAGTGAGGTATCAAACAGAAGCCAACTAATTCACAGAACAAAAACAATTTGGTAACAGATGATTCTGCAGTTCTGTGTGGGTTCCATCATGACATAACGTGCACAGTAAGTTGGAATCGAGTGAAGGAACACACGAGTGACAGAAGTAGTACGGCAGTGATTGGGCTTTCGTCGCACTAAAACAACAGGAACATCATTATTTTGATCTCGCCGCACTCTTGATTCCATTCCGAATCAGTGCAACAATATTGCGATAGTAGACGCACAGCCACCTAATCGCTACCCAAACTTAAATACATCCATACATATATAGTGGATGTCAAACGTCTACACACCCCATTTCAAATGGAAGGTTTTGTGATATAAACGAGATCATGATAAAGAAGTTCAAAACTTTTCCCACCATGATTTTGACCTATATATAATCTGTGCGACACAATTAAAAATAACAAAAACAAACAAATGCGTAGACGTGGCCGTACAAGAGTGCACAACCTCCGATGACTAGAGATGTTCAGAATTGCCAATCACATAAATTGAACTCCTCATGTTAAAGAGGAGTAAGCACACACATGCCACCGTTTAAAAGGCCTCTGATTAATGGAAAATAGTTATTCTTGTCGGCTTTCGTGATCTTTTTTTTTCGTTTTCTAGCAGAAGCCAGAAGCCCGTATCTCACTGATCGGCGAAGGTTTGCGGGATGTTGCCACTCCGACACTTCACTGTAATAAACTGTTCTTTCGGTGGTGAGCAGCAGCATTGTGTTACAGGAGCTCAAAGAATTGGCCAGTGACCGGTTTCAAGGTGTAGTTGGTTTGAACATAGTCACATCCCCATTCATGAGGTTGTGCACACTCGTGCAACGAAGATATCTCAGTTGTTGATTTTTATTTGATTTTCTGCATTTGTGTTGTTTAGGTTAAAGATCACATTAGTGGTGTAAAAAAATGCTTGCAATTGATTTATCGTTAAGCATAAAAAAAAGTGGCATTCTAACACGGTTGTGTAGATTTATCTACACGGAAGCTTTCAGAAGTGCAAGACGACAAGGCACCAAGTTCGAGCGCACCGGATGATGCCTTTGGGTTACTTTCTGGTATTACCCAGTGGAAAGGGCTTGGAAAACAAAAACATTCTTTCAAATGGTGTCGCTGTCAAATCTATTGGCATGAAATGACTTGAGCCACTCCCAATTCTACCCTTAGCACATACTCGGGGCAGTAACGTGAAAAAAAAAAAATGCTTTTGAAGGGTGATTTTTTTTTGTTGTTTTTTTGAGGGGGGTGAGCGGTTAATACACACATGCATTTTATGTTAATCTACATAATATCACATTTTGCTGTGTAAAAATACCATGTTACACATGACCAGTGAAACCTAAATTCCGGTATGTGAAAAAAAAAAAAAATACATAATATGGGGGGTGAGGCTTATATTCAACAATCTGTACATGACGGTTTTTAAATGGAAGTCAGCTTCTTTTTCCACAGATCGCATGGTAGGTGGCGGTCAAAAATAAATGCATAAAGACAGTTTTCTTGAAGACACCTAGGCAGGCCAGAAAAGTGCAGAATACATAATCAACACATGGATGATGACGCAACACAGAAGCGGCCGATATTTTTGGTCATCATTATTGGTTCACTGCTTGTGGATAATTTCAGTTTGGCCTTAATTCCATGAATACAACCCTGCATCTTTGAACGAAATGGCTCTTTGAGTATAATGGTGCAAACCCCTTGTCAAACAGATATACTAGCCCAAAGTTAGCTGGGATAGCCTTGAGCTCACTGTGCCCCATATGAGAACATGCGCTATAGAAACGGGGCTTAAAACAATCAGATCCACAGAATCCACCATTATGACCATTGCTAACTGGATTATTGCGATTCAGTCCGCCTGGTGTGTGGACCAAATGTGTCCCCAAAGTGACCTGAGAACAGACGATGTCACTCAAAATGTCGTGTTTACGTAAATAAATATGGTCCGACATGTCGAGGGGCTGATCTTTTTATTGTCTCATATCTACACAGGAGCGATCTGGGAGGAGGTAGAAATGTTTGGTGGAAATGAGGTGAGGCTTTTCGATCTCCTCATTTTATGGAGACATCTACTGAAGAAGACTTCATGTCATCGCAGAATAAATGAATCGTCTGCATGGCTGAACCACGACTATCACCACAAATTTCCACTTGATGCTTTATGTCAAATGAGAAAGTCAGTAAGAATACTCAAAATAATTTTGCAGAATCACAGACGATTGTCTGTAGTCTCCCCAGGATTCTTTCCCAGCTTGCGTGGAACACATATTGGGCTTTTGATGACATTTAGGTTTGATAAATGCGACCTGAACATTCAGACTGAGGTCGGATATAGAACCAATCTAAGACCACATATGGAAGTGACCCAGGAAGGATGTGAAAACAAACAAAAAAAAAAAAAATCAAATATGGGTGACATTCGGGCAAAAATTTCAGATTTGGATCACAATTGGCAACAGTCGGGGTGTTTTTAAGAGGCACGAAGAAAGGTCAGTAAGCATGACATAATGCTGCCATAAATACTGAGTAAGATTAACATGATGAAAGGTGTCTTTCATACTCAGCCACGTACCCATTAGTCTTCATCGGTGCTGGTGTGTGAGCTGAAAAAGTCATCTTCCCATGATGCTTTGAGATGTTGCTCCAAGGTCTTTGCGAGTGCCATCACAGCTGGTGGCATGAGCACCACGCAGGCTGCCAGGCCCGAAACGCGCTCCTTCATGGGCGTCTCGCTCTCCCACTCATCCGTGTCGGTGTTGAACACGTGAACGTATTTCATCCGTTTGCCTTTGTTGTGAGAGCGCCCTGCCAGTACGTGGATGCGATGATCCAACACTGCGATGCCGGGCTCCCCGTGGCCAGCGGGGAGCGGGCTCAGTAAAGTCCAGGAGTTGTCTGAGGGCTCAAAGCACGCCATCTGAAAAACATGATATAGAGTACAGTGCCATGAAAAAGTATTTCAACCCTTCCTGATATCTGCGTCCTTTGCATATTCATCACACACAAAATGTTTCAGTTCATCAAGCCAATTTTAATATCACATCGCGACAACCCAAGGAAATACAAAATGCAGTTTCTAAACGCCAATCTAATTTATTTAGACACACACGTACACAAAAAAAAAAAAAAAAATCCAAACCTACCTGTCCCTATGTGAAAAATCAATTGCCCCCTGAACCTAAACATGGGTTGGCAGCAATAACTGAAATCAAGCGTTTACAATAATTGGTGATTAGTCGTTCACATCGCTGTGGAGGAATTTAGGCCCACTCTTCTTCATAGAATTCCCAAACCACCTCAGAGTCAACTGTGAGGAAGTGCTGCCTGCAAGCTACCTCATGCAACAAATGAAAAGAGAAAAATATGCCGTTGTTCTACCTGTAAGACATCCCGTCGGTAGCCATACTCGTCATTACTTCCCCCAATGACATACAGGCGTCCGTTCACAGCAGCCATGCCGTGCCATGCTCGGCCCACCGGCCCGTCAGCACATGCTGTCCATTGGTTGGCTGCCGGGTCAAAACAGTAAGTCTCTCTTAGGTACGCCCGCCCTCTGCGTCCACAAGTGATGTAAATGTTGCCATCTACCACAGCTCCAGCATGCGCGTAAACCTATGATCAAGATTGCACTGTTAAGAGAAGGCTGCATACATTTCTCAGAGTGCTGAGTATGTAGCGCCCTCGTGTGCACATAGGGATAGTTACAGTACATACCTCTCTGATGAGAGGGGACACAAACTCCCAGTTGTTAGTGTGCGGGTCGTAACGCTCCACCAAGTCCAACTCCTTGCTGTAGTCTCGACCGCCGATGGCGTAAATGTGGCCTCCTACCACGCACACGCAATGGTCCGCGTGCTGATGCTGCAAAGGCTGGATGGAGCACCATTTGTTGTGCCGAGGGTCATATCTAGAGAGTGAGAAGAAGAGCGGATAATTATTAGCACTTCACAAATGAAGTGAGAAGATGTGGGCGTATTCAAGGCCCATCATAGAAGTCGATGCAGATTGCACAAGTGATTTCATGGCTGTTTTGACTCAGTCAAAAGCAGGGGTGGAGCAACATGGTGGCCAAGGGTGGCTAGACCCACCCCACTGGTCACACCCGCACCTTGGGGAACATTGTGATATTTTTGGCATTTTCACATGGATGCAGTATTCTTAGACCCGTGATGTTTATATATACTGTAGCTAAATAATTAAAGAATAAATGAACAATTGATCTGTATGCAAACTCTAAAATAACCTGCCTCAAGTTAAGAATGTTGCATTCTTACACTCAACATCAATCCAAAGAATTACTTTCACACCAGAGCAAGAAAACAAGATGACTGAGAAGTCATTGTTTTTCAAATAATCCACAGTCTTGGTTTCATGGAATAAAATGTACTCACATATAAACAGGGACAACGTTTTTAAAAGCAACATTTAGATGGTGAAGAATTAAGAGACTTTTGTGTCACTGTATGTTTTAGACATGATTTGAATGAATGAGCCCTTTATCGCACCATACAAAATGGCGCTAGTTGCTAGCAAATAAGCACATGAGAAAAGCAAAGAAATGGCAAATAAAATGGCATTTTCTAGTCAGTTAATAAGCGTAGCAAAGTGTTGCTTTTTATTTTGACTTGTTCTTGCTTGATTATGAGTGTAACGGGCATTGTTCTGGATATGTGTACATTTTATTTTATGAAACCCTGACGATTGATAGTATGATACAGAACGATGCACTCAAGCATAAGCCAGCCCTGGCCACACCCACAGAGGTCTTGTTTCACCCTGGCAACCCCACAGAAAATCTTCTGGCGACGCCCCTGGTTTAAAGTATTAAAACAAAATATTTATGTACAGAAGGCCATATATATTTAGCTGACTCTCCACTTTTTGACAATCTTCTGCATCTCACTTGTTTATTATGTTTTTAATTTTTTTATGGTTTGTTTTCCATGGCAATTATGGGGAACATCAATTTTTTTGTAGATTTTTGCTATCCGCCGTCTAGCTCAGTTCCTAACCACCAGCTGGGGTCCAGAGTACATCTGTAGACCGGAACCAAAAAGCAGTTTTGATTGGGTTGGTTACTTTGATGTTTTTTAAAAATTGTATTTAAGTGATTATTTGCCCTTGCATTTCAAACGAACTTCCAATGTGCACATACAAAGAAATGTTGCCCCTTTCTGATAGTATAACTTTTTGTCCACTCTAAAAATGAGTTTTTTTGTGTTTATGTTGATTGATATAAGCCATATTGGGGTCCTCACCTCCAGCAGCGAGTCTCTGCACGAAATCCACTGGTATTCCTGTCTCCACCAATAAGATACACAAAGTTGTTCAGCACAGCAATTCCCTGGTTGGACATGCGAGGACTGTTCACTGCGTCAAGTGCCCTCCACTCTTTCCAGCTGTGGTGGAACACCTGGAACAGGGGCTCACTGTCCATATGAGAGGTGGAAGGGAACATCCCCCCGAAGCCCAAGATGCAGTAGAAGGTGGAGCGAGGCTGTGTAAGAGGACTCTGAAGGACAGGCTGCCATATCTCTTGCTCGTGGTAATGGAGGGCGGCAGACACGGTTTCCTTTAGCGGGCACTGATCCAGTTTATCGTGCAACCTCTGCAGCACTTCTTTCTCCATTAGACAGAAGCGCACGGCATCAAGCATCTTGAGGCTGTCCTGCAGTACAGCCAAATGAGCAACATTTAGACTTGGGAGTGAACCCGTGCTATTTTGTGGTTCATCGTTCACAACCGTTCAACCGCGATAAGCAATCATTCCGATTTTGAAGTTACGCACCTTCAACGTAGTACCATGTTGTGCTGCAACATACCTGGCAGCACTGAGTTCTACTGGAAGAGATGCAGTGTAATTAAGAGCAAAACGAGGAAGACAATGTCCCCAACTAAACTACCGGTACACTACTGGTAATTGTTGTTCTCATAGAGCAAGGTTGTCAAACTCATTTTTGTGATGGGCCACATTGTAGTTATTATTTCCCTAGAAGGGCCATTATGACTGTGAAACCAAAAAAGAATAATGCTCAACTCTTAATTTAAATGACTATAATGAGGGGTTTGGTAAAAAGAAAATGCTTACAATACCTCTCCTACTTATTACATAGGAGAGTTTGAAATTTTGGTACAGATTTTAGCTAGCATCATCGAAGTTGATGTGTTTGATTTGCTTTCGCGGGCCACATAAAATGATGTGGCGGACCAGATCTGGCCCCCGGGCCTTGAATTTGACACATGTGCCATAGAGCCTCTGCTCTTAATTATATTATCACTATAGTATATGCCTGTGAGCACTGTTGAATGCTTTGTTTGTAAGTGCTGCTGCTCCTCGTGTGTTAAAGTAACAGCTGTTTATGATTACACCAGTGAACATTTTTTTTTACTAAATCTTCCATCATTAACTGGGGATTACTGCATGTGCGAGAACACTGAATAGCGTTGTCTTTTGTGTGCGTGACAGCAGAGTAAAATTAACAAAAAAAAACAAACATGGACACATCCGACTGACCTTTAAGTACACCTGGTCACTTTCCACCTGCTCAGGACTGTAGTGGTAGTGAAGCGCTGCGTCGTACACCTCATTCTCACTTTGCACCTCCAGCTCGTCACTGCTCAACACTCGGAAAACTTCCTCATGGGGGAGCCGTCGGTAGATATCCGTGTGGGACAAACCCTGCAGGTTGTTCAGGATGTGGGAGTGGACTCTGGCATTGAGCTGCCGCAGTCCGTAGAGATCAGCGAGGTGATGAATCTCCAATATATTGCTCTCGTCCAGCCAGGAGAAGAGGAACTCGCAGCAGAAGCCAATGACGTCCTCAAGCTTGTGAAAAGACAAAGATGAAAACTGTTTCCAAGCATTAATTTGCGGAAGCCCAAAAGTTGGACAAAATAGACTTCAACCAAAATGAGTGATTTATGATTAATAAAGGAATTATGATTACAAACCTACATATTAATCTACTATTTATTTTATGTTTTATTTCTTATGCATCACAGAATAAATTATGTTTAGTTTAACAATGGAATGCTTCCATATTTAATAAAGCTGTGTGTTACCCATATATTATAACAAGGCAAGAAACCACACCTGCACCAATGTGGCCGCTATCAGGATTTCCTGCACACAGTCCAGATCTAATTCGATCTTTGAAGTGTAGATATAGTCCAGTATTTTATTCATGGCCAAAAAGGACACGCCGTGGATTGGGATCTCATTCTGCTGCATCTCTCGAAGGCCCCCGGTGAACATCCCCCTAAGGAAAACATTGACATGGTGTTAGCGAACGGTTCCTCCTGAAGTGCACCACCACCTCCTTGGTCTTCTTCACACTGATGCAAAGATTTCTGTTTTTGCACCAGACTTATCGTTGGTCGTGATGCGTCCCACTACCGGTGTGTCGTCCGTGTATTTCAAAATTTCAATTGACCCCTATCTAGTTGTTATTAGTCCTATTATTCAGTTCAATAATAAAAGATAAGCTTGGTTATCGATTGTAGGAGACGTTTCATGTATATACATGTAGGTCACCAGGTTAACCGGTGGGTGTCACCATCGTATTTATTCTCAAACATACAGTCGTACGAACCAGACTGTACTCAGAAGTTTGCAGGTGTCAAACGAGAAACGAAGCAATTGAGTTTTTGCCCAATGTGATTTCGCCATGTTATGCGGGTTTTATTTGCAAAGTTTCGAACGTGTGTTGTGAAACATTTGGTTAGAGTTGGAAGAAGAAAACGTGTTTCAGTAAACTTTTTAAACGCTTCCTCAAAAGACGTTTATCCACCAAACGCGATCGATTTATCAACGTGTCAAACAAACACTAACTGTCGAGTCACACTCAGTAGCTTCAAAATGGACTACTTAGCCACTGCATCCACCGTTGTTTTTTTTGTTTCGTTTTTGAGAACGGGGACGCCCCCGTGTACAGTGTGTGAGGTTGTCACATGAAAAAGACACTAAAAAAGTATGCACAGAATGTATAAATTCATGACAGGATGGACAGTTGTGGAATTCTACAACACTAAAAACCTATGCATGATATGTCACAGATGATTTACTGCACAGCAAATGTGATGCACCTGACAGGCTGTTAATTGCAATTAGGTTTCCAGAAGCGTCATATTAATTCAGTATAGTCGTGAAGTGTATAATTAATTTGATTTTGTATGTGCTAACAGGTGTTATTTGAAACATCGTCACAATTTCAAGACGCGTTTTCACTTTCACTTTGACAAAAAAGGCAGTACACCACAGAAGTTTCGAATGCTTTACCTAAAGTAATCGCAGGCGGCAGCGAGAAGCACACGATGGCCGTGGATGGCTCGTCCCTCCACCAGCAGCACCACGTCCGATAGGATGCCAGCTTGCCGGAGCCCCAGCAGGCTGTCCAGCAGGCTTTGGGAATGGGCCGAACTTCTATACGTCTGTCGGCTAAGGCGGGATGAAGAGCCATCGGAGTTGCCGGTGGCCGACCCGCCCACCAGACTAAGCTGTCCATTGTGGGCCATGGCAGGACTGTGTTGTTGAGGCTTGATCGACTTAGACGGCTGGCGCTAGCATTATCAAGACGACTTCATGAAGCGATTGAACAAATTACCCAGAATAAACCGACAACAGGAAGAGGAGGAGTGTGGGTTGCTGCCGGGGTGGTTCACTCGCCAGGTCACAGTACACATGCAAATAAACTGTTCAAATTCAAGTGCACGCATTAAACCTCGAATCGATCGATGTCCAGTTGTTACCTCACGTCAACATGGATAGATGTAAACGCAGCTCGCGAGCTAACGAGCTAACGTTAAAACCTCACTACTTGAAGGTCAAAATAAGCGTTTTTCAAATACAGAACGACAGCAACAAACACATAAGCGCTAGTAGAAGCCCGACGTTTTTCGCAGAATTTTGGATTTTCTAGTGACAGCGATGTGATTTTTGTCGTTTGTTGATATGTTTACTTTGAGGCGCTTGATGTTGATCTAATGTCCTATTGGCCAGTCTGTTCTTATTCTCCCGCCCACTTGTCCGTGTGAGCCAATCAGAAACGTACAAAAAAATAAACTGAAGCAGTTTCAAATAGGGTATCATACTTTATTGGAAAGAATATGCAGTCACATCCACTTGATCCGTTTTGTAATTTTTAGTATTTTACACTATTACACAACTTAAATAAATCTACATGCATTTCTGGCGCTTCGTACAGTAATAATTTTAATCAAACACTAGAGGAGGCTCTTGACTACCGAATAATTTACGTTGGTCCGATTTATTGCGCTCTTGATCAAGCTACAGGCGACTAATATGGCGCACAACACTAACATTATTAATTTGAAGCGTTGTCGATGATGATAATAGATCAAGCTACAGGCGACTAATATGGCGCACAACACCAACATTATTAATTTGAAGCGTTGTCGATGATGATGATAATAATAATCGGGTCTGCTGTGTCATGCGTTGAAAATTTGTCAGAGACGGCCCCATGGGCCAAACATATTCGGCAAGCTTACTGGGAAACAATTGTATAAAGAAATCGTCTGATGTTCCCACTTTCCTAGAAATCGAGGAAAGTCTTCATCGAAATCATTGCCTTGGACTTTCCAAGCATTCTGACACTGCATCCTGATTTCTGCACCTCCATCCTCTTCCTCTCCCATGTCTCGGTTGTTCTGGGGCAGCCAATCTTCATCATTGTCATCACTACACGCATCACTGGAATCAGAGGGAATTTCCGGAAGTATTCTATTGGCATCTCTATTCTTTACTGCACTACCAGCCTACAAATTGTTACCAGTATAAATTACAAAGTACAAATCTTCTCAAATAAATTACATTTTAAATAAACTATACCAAAAAAGCATCCACTTACAACCTACATAAGTAAAACAACCAAATTGACTTTTACTGGAAAGATACTAACCAGTGACATGATGTCCACTTTATTGGACACATAAAATCAAAGTTTTCAAAGCAAAAACAATACTGTTGTTTGGGTGTTCCTGCATATCAGTATTTTTTTTTTTTTACCTCAAGGGATCTCATGGAATAGAAGGATTGGCAGGATAGCAACCTTGGATGGAGAGAACGTTTACTTGGAGTTACAAAAAGGAACCACTAAATACATGTCAAAAGAAGGTAGCAGTAGAGAGCATTGTCAGCCCTGATGGGCAATTCTACTGTAGAAACCATTGTATTTAAAAGAAAATGGCTCTTAAAATTCCGTTGATTGTAGGAACCACGATGCACCAGAATGCTAGAAATGAAGACTCTAAATTGTCCAAATTATGGTTTGCCACTTTGTGGTTGCAGTGTTGTAGTTCTGCAAGTATTTTGTTCAGCAAGAATAGACAATCATGATGTAATCATATAAAGGTCATAAAAATTTATTTTTATCTGGCGAAAACAGTTCTCTACTTGATACAAATGTGGTGTTATATGTGCCATTCATATTCTACAGTTCATCTTGCAGTGTTACAGGTGGGGAGGACATTGGGCGAGAGATGGGGTAAACCCCCTGGACTGGACATCAGTCAACTTCAAAAACATCGTTAACAGGAAGTGATCCTGAACCTGCAGTATTGACTTTTTGTTTTTGGAGTTTCACCCCAACATCGAGCCGGGGAGAAATGCTTCCCGGATGATATATGGAGAGGGACAAGATCCGGCATTCCTTCCATTTTTCTTAATGGTGAATGTAAGGTTACTACTGGTTACGAATGGCTGTTAAAAAACTGCAGTTGTTTGCTAATACATTCAAACTAAAGCTGCTGCAGCCAGTTAAAAAACTGCAGTTGTTTGCTTATACATTCAAACTAAAGCTGCTGCAGCCAACACGAGTGACATCATGCAGTCTGTAAATGCAAGGTTACAATGTTTTTTTCCCAATCTTTATATTGACCTTTTGTGTTTTCGAAAGCCATTTTAACTTGTATTAATTTTTAAATAGCTGTTTTGACTTGTGGTTTTACCTATCAGCTTTAAGGCTTATTGTTGCTCTCTGCGCCTGCTTAAAATAAAATAGAAAAATAAAACAAAGAAACTGTTCTTGAACATGAAACTGTGACTCCAGTGTTACAGTATCAGATTTGGCAATTTAAGTTTCAAGGCCAACCTGAGACATAATGAAATATCGGTGATTGGGTCACTTTACTGTCTGGAAGCGAGCCAAGTGCTGGAAACATCCTTCGTGTACACGAGAGCCCATTGCCACGTTGAGATGATGAATCAATTAGGAAATTTATCAAAATCACACATAGCTTTTAAGGGTCTCAGGCATAGACACAGGACTTGAATGAACAAAAAAACAACTTATCTGCACATGTGGGTGGAAAGCCAGGCAATACAGTATCCCACACACGACCAATTGCAGGTGCAGGATGAGTTGCCAAAGCAAATACTGTAAAACCATCTTGTTTACTAGAGAACTTTTAGCATCGGTAAAAAGATATGATTCCCACACCTCATTAAAATTGTTGTCAACAGTTTTGGGAAACGCTAGCAAAATACAAGGGCGTATTCAGCTCACACTGGTAAACAACATGTCCAGGTATGGCATCAGTCCCACCAGGACTGACAAATCAGACAGCGGGATATTGTTCCATTTAAAGGATGCATCAGTTCATTGTACTTCGTATTTTCATTTCATTTCCTTTTGTAAAATGGATGGTTGGATGAATTTGTGATTGATTTTCATGCTTGCTTATTCTCCCGTTTCTGTCTCTTGTTGGACTTGGGCAAATTTTCTGGTCCAAAAGGCTCACTGAATTTAATGTGGCCTTTTGGAGTCCCTGCAGTCTGACGTTTCCCCATTTGAAGTGCTCTATGAATAAAGTTGAGTTGAGTTTTTGTCAAAACAAAGAAATGTTAATCATAAAACGACTTTTGAACATATTGGTCCGTAAAATGGAAATCAAGACACACATTTTCTTGACAATAATATGCACTCCCACTAGTCGAAACACAGCATTCTGATGAATATCAAATTTGTGGTCCATGAATTAATCAGCAAAACCCACTTATTTTTACCCATCTCAATAGGGAGCCAGTTTGCCACTTGTTGTGGACTGAAAATGACATGACAGTTCTCTAAGGGGTAAGGGATCCATTAAATCAGGGGTAAGGAACTCAGGTTCCTCGAGAGCCATATTCTGCCTGTTTTAGACCCCTCCCTACTCCAACACACCTGATTCAATTTTTCGTGATCTTTTTTTTTTCTTAAGTTCAAGAAGAATGAAAACAAATTGCGAACTTTATATTATTATTGTATTTCATACAATAGTCTTATACGTAACCGCTGTCCAAAGGATTCAAGTTGAACTGCGCTTTTCTAGCACTGATCCAAGAAATGGGCCACTGTCGGGAAGCGACCAACACAGTTGGGTAAATTTCAAAAACACCTTATCTACTCAGCCCGTGATTTGCGATCTTCCTGAAAATAGCTTTGAATAAATCTTTTCGAAGTGCGGGACCCTCCAGTTCTTTGGACTGAACGTTCAGTATATACGAATCACAATGTGGTTTGATTTTATTTAATAACCTTCACATGCCACACTGATAGGGGTCAGTGCTGCTTCGATGATGTGGAGAGACAGAGACGGGGTTGGGGGTAGTTCACTTGCTGTCATGAATGTGAGGAGAGCAGTTGCTAAATAAAGAGGTCTTGAGTTGGAATATAAGTGGAGTTATTATTCAAGCCAACACACCCTTTATGAAATGCCTGACATAATAGTCGCTTCCTTGATAGGTGGACAAACATAAAAAAAGACTAATGCAAAATATCACACAAGGGGGTTGTGTGGTGTCCGCTGGACAGTCCAACAAAATATGTCCAAGCTAATCTAACTCTTATGCCTTGTCTCTTGGTTTCTTTCATTATTTCTTATTAAGATAAGTGAGAATAAGGGAGAAAACTTAGATGACAAAGATAGGAATTGTCATTCGGTTTCCAATCATCCTGGCGACGCACTTTCCCAGAGCATATTTTGCTTCAATTGGCATCACGGGGAAATCCATGGAGCTTCATTGTGACACCCTACAGCCAGCCATTTTCACAGTATTTGTTCAAAAATTGATGAAAGATTGATGAAAAGATATTGAGTTCCACGCCAGCGACATCGAGCGATGAGCTGCAAAATGGTGCCTGCAAAATCGTGTGAGTGCTTACAACTAATCAGTGTCCAGAGTAGTGAGAAGCTGAAAGAACTTAAATTGGCTAGACTCTGTTTATATCGGGCGCTAGTGCCCGCCTGGCAACAGCTTCTGATGGCTCTTGCGTTGCTTTGCTTTTTTTCTTTTCTTCTTTTTCAATGATGTGGTAGCTTTTTGCAGTTCCATATTTAAAGGAAGAAGATGTGCCGAAGGTGTCTGAAGGCTTTTCCATTCATGGTCCATTCATAAATAAGAAGGTATCCTGCCTTACATTGCACTTAAGCAGGTGCGCCTGGTCCCAAAAACCTGAAAAAAAAAAATGTCAGGAGCACATATATAATACAAATGTCTTTATAACTGAATTTTAGCTGGCTGAGTACCTACTTTGTGCAGGTGCAGTGAAGAGAAACTGAGATTGGGAAAATGACCACATTTGTGACACACCAGTTCGGCTGACTATCCTTTGGTTCATTCGTTCTTTCCCCCTGTTCATGTGCATGGAAAATAGTGCTCAACCAGTGCAAATAAAAAATATTTTGTTTGACTCGAAACAGGCTTAATTCACACAGTGTATTTCCATCTTAAGTAACAAACATAAAATTATTTTGAAACAGTACATGTTGGTACGTATAGATGCTTACCTACTTACTGTTTGAGACTTTGTGGTGTGTGATCATTTATCAAAGATCACTGTGCCCATTTACAGTGTAAATGCATTTGAATGACGACCAGTACAGATTGTAGTCTGCATTTTACACTAATTTCATCGGGACAGGCCGATGACTTGAACAAGATTAAGGTACAGAAATCAGAGGGGTGTACTTACTGATGGAGACACAAATACGCTAAAAAGCACATTCAGTATGCGTT